TTCAATCCAATCTAAAACAAACTTGATATCAATCTCAACTAATCTTAATCAATCAATACATTACAATCACAATCGTTTATTGCCCCAAAACTTTTATTGAGTCATATCGATTGAGTTTTGTTACAAATTTGGTGCTATGACCTGCAGCAAGACGGGGTAATTTTCATAAATAGGGGCAAGGGGACAGACGGGGTGTCATCGCTTCTCAAGCGGGTTGCATGGCCAAACAAATTGTTGTAAAAAATAACGGTTATGTCACCTGCATGAAATGTAAAAAGCTCGACCCGAATTTGGATACGATTCAAAGCGGCTGCGCAGGCACTGCATCCTCGTCGCCCGGTGATGTGGAATCTGGAATCCACGAATGCGCAATTCTATTTCTCCATGATGGAGTAAAAAAAATTTTATTTCTCCATGATGGAGAAAAAAACTTTCTATTTCTCCATTCGGAAGTTGGAGCCAAAAGGACCAACGGGTGGTTGCCAGTATTTTTGCAGGATACAAACAAGCCTGCTTGCGATGAAATACAAGATTTTGGTGCTATACTGTAGGAGCAGGGCGCCCCGACAACTACTTTTGCACAGCCCAAACAAAACTGTTTAGCGATGGAAGCTACAACAATCAACTAATAGTTACCTTGAAGGTGCTACTGATTCGTGATGGAGTATGAAGGCAGTGTGCGAGCCCAAGGTGGAAGAAGACTTTTTCCGAAACGTCAATTCTCATTATGATTGTTGAAGAACAAGAGATAGATTACGTTTGGGGAAGACTTGGGGATGTCGTTTCTCCACTGGAAGCTGTTTTCTCCACCGTGGAGAAGAAAAAAAATCTATTTCTCCACCGTGGAGAAAAAATAATTCTATTTCTCCACCGTTAGCGCTAGCGCTCCTGTTTTTCCGCAAAACATGGAGGCGGCATGTGCCACTAAAGATCACTTCTTAACTGGAGGGGACGAATTGCGGCTTGGCGCTCCTGAGTTTCTACGTGAAACTTCCAGTCGCGATGCCACATGTCCAGGCCCCAGTGCACTTGAAAACAAGAGCTTGCCGCAATCTTGTTGTTTGTCGCGTTGCTTCACTCCTTCATTTTTGTTAATTGGACCAGAGAGTGTCCGTCATTCGTACATTTAGATAGTTTAACCTAGAGATTCGCATGTTAATTGGACCAGAGAGTGTCCGTCATTCGTACGTTTAGATGGTTTAACCTAGAGATTCGCACACATCTTGTAAAATCCCCATGTTTGTCATCGTACTCGTTTTCGTCCCGAATCTCTCGTACCTCGCTACTCAATTTAACAGTTTATCAGACCCAAGCAATCCACAATGGATAGAGGAGCCTGGGAAGGCTTTCGAATAATATCTGTTTGAGGAAATCGCCTCATTCAGCCATGGTTAGGATCACCATCGTCGTATTGATCTCGTGATTTTTTCATGCTACAATTTTGGCGTTCGGATGCGCACCGAAGGCTAATCACGTCGCAGCGTTAAGTAATTTGTTCGCCAGCGAAGGCTTAACGGCAGACGTGCCATGCGTGCAACCATCCGTGCCACGTTTATCTACAGCTCTCGATATGAGATGCTTCGACATTTAGGGCTAAATTATTTGAAGTTACCAGACATCACCAACGTTCGCCTTCTGGCGATTCTCTCCAGTGATTTCCGACTTCAAGTTGGACACTTTTCGACCTGAAACCAAACAACACATCAAAAAACAAAAAAATCAATCGTCAACACATCATCGCATCACAATGGCTGCTGTTATTCAATTTTGTAACTGGTGCGAAGTCGATCTCCTTATTCGACCCGTCCTCACACAACACATGACCGATGTTGAAGGTCTTGACTCTGTTGACTCCTTCGCCAACAGAACGACTTCTCAAGTTTGTGAAGACATAAAATCTATGCAAAGAGCCCCTGATCCCAACAATGCAAATGCGACTATCGGAGTCACCGCTCGCAAAGCAATGACTATTCATCGTATCTCCAAATATGGGAAGCTCCTCACTTTAGTTCAAAGAACCCATACACCAGCCCTTGGAACCATTCAAACTCTCCTTTTTATTGGTCAATTCTATGATGAGAACCCAGATCTTATCGAAGGGGACTCCTACCCACTTCCTCCACATCCTCCAAAGTTCAACAATCGCGATGGTCGAATCATGATGGAAAATATCGAAAGTTGGGCTCGTACTGCCTGTGGCTACCGTGGAATTCGCCTTGATTATATTTTCCGTGAAAACTCTGTACTTCCACTCGTCGGTGACCCTGGTTTTCTCAAAGCCGATGATGGCACTCGCTCCATTGAGGAAGAACTCGTCCGACGTGCTGCTCATACTGGCGCTGTGTTCCGTCGCAACAACCAGAAATTTTGGGTTATGCTCCATGCCGTCACACATGAAACTGATGCCTACAATCACGTTCG